TTATACGTCAAAGATCAAGAAAAACTTAAAATTCTTCTTGATCTTAGATGACAAACAACGAGAGCACCAAACTCTTAACTGATAACCTTTGACACATTGATTTAGTGTCAAATCCTGCTATAACGACCGCGGAACTCAAAAACGGCTATAGTTTGTCAAATGTAGAAACATTTTGAAATTTCGATTTGGGAATGCATCTATTATGCGCGGTAGAAAACAGTAACAACACCTCTAGAGTTTTCAGTCGAATGTGACTTTCATATAGAAATAATTTAAGTTTCACATCGTGTGTAGTCCATTAGAAACACCAGTTGAGATCTTGCATACGAAGAATGATATTCAGTAGTAAAATCACTTTTAGGATGATGTGGGAAGCCCCTACAGATCTCCTCAATCGTGATAAGTCAAAAGTTTCACTCTACGCAAGAAGAAAAATCTTACGATTCTGTTAAAAATATAACATTGCATTGAGCTTTTAAAAAAGGGCATGATAAGTGTTAAAAGCACTTTTAAATTAATAGGAAAGATTGGTTTAATTGAAGAACAGCAGTTTATACTTCTTATTTGCTTTCTAGAAATGTAACTAGCAAATATGAACAGTTTCAAAGAGGCTCCAATGCTGAATCATTACCTCAAAAATAAAGACGATCAGAGAAGTGACTGATTATCAAATAAGAGACTTCTGGTATTAATGATTTGCATTAATTTAGTCTTTAATAGATGGTGTTGTGAGAAAATCAAGAATGCGGAAGGTATTATTCACCTTGACTACTTGACAACAATAACTGGCGTGTACCGCAGGCTTCAGGAAAAAACGTCTGGGTTTGCCTGACAACAAATTCTCTTTCATCCAGACAACGCATCCACCTATAAGACGGTCAATTGTGATAAGAATTGATCGACCAACCACTGTATTCGCCAGACTTAACCCCAGAAGACTATTACTTGTTCTTAAACTTTAAAAATGGTTTTTAGGATGCCGTTTTTGCAATGAACGATGTCGTCATAGTTGAGCATTCATACTACTTATAAAAAGGAAATTATCTTGAAAAATAAAGGAGGAAACACAAAATCGTGCATTTTCTTATTTAGAACAAATAATTCTCAAGCTACCCTCGTAACTAATGACGCAAGAAGTGCTGATATACCATTAAATTAAGATTTTTAAAGAGAGAGAGCAGAATACGTCACCCAAGTTCCCCAAGTTGTTCTTTGTATCGGCTAAATGCAGTTTCGCTGAGATTTTAATGTTACGTGGTCCATAGTTTTCATTTTGGCAGTAAATTGACAACAGCGACATAATAAGTTACATTGATATTTCCATTATATAAGAGAAAATCACAATAAATTCGAAGCGGTTTTTGTAAAGACCAATAAAAAATTTACAAATTCAACAAGATCGAAAAATACATCAGCGTATGTACAGTAAGCAACACAGATTATATATTTTTTTGTCCTTATAATTATTTTGCACTATTTTTAATTCAATTTCTTTTAAAGCATTTTGTGAAATGTATATACAAGTTGTGATCGTATTACGTTACGTTTTTGTGCTTTTTTGCTTACCCGTTTTTTTTCCAACCATAAATATATTTAACAATTTTTTCCCATCAATACCAAAAGTATTTGAAAACTGAAGGTTTGATGGTGCATCAGTAGATGTCGCTACTGTAGAAAATCGCCATAGAACATATGCAGAATTAACTACACATGTGAAGTTACAAATAGTGCCTAGAACTTCACTTTAAAGGTCAAATATAATGCTGAGAAATTATAAAAATATAGAAACATCTAAAATTTCGCCAAAAAAAAAACAGCACTGCAAGGCCTAAAACCACCGGTGCTGGGAGAAACAGAGATTTCATTTGCCAAAGAAATAAAATACTGTCAGGTGTATTTTGATTATAGGCTTACATGGAATACAGTAACAAGAACGACTACAAGGAAGTGGTAGCTCAAAAATCTCTGGAATGATAAAGGAATTCACAGTTCATTGCAGAACATTGGCCAAAATTTACGACAGACATAATAAGTAAAGACAGGAAAACAGTAAAAGCCATAGGAGGTCTTCTAACAGGGTACTGTAAGCTGAATAGGCACTTAAAGCTGATGGGATTATCAGATGATGACCTGTGCAGATTATGTCACCTCGAAGAAGAAACAGCAGAGCACATTGTATGTCAGTGTGACAGTTTGGCAAATGTGCCGTTCTTTGCATTAGAAGAAGAAAGACTTACAGAATTTAAAGAGCTTACAAAATTAAAACGATAAACATATATAGAGCATCCTAAATGAGAGTTTTGCGAACATTTCTAGAAGAAACGGTAAAAAGCTTTTCTTGTGGGAATTAGAAAAATCGGGTTTTTATATTTTTCCTACACAACTTTTAATGTAGTACATATATTTAATTCGCAATTAGTCCTTCTGTATATGTTGTAATTTTGGCTGCACTAATTCCCAGACGGATAATCTCCTCATTTTTTTTTAACAGGAATAGATATAAGACAGCTTTTGTCAGTATAATATTTATATTATTTAAAAAATAATTAGATTTTTGAAGGTAGAGTAGTTACGACAAAGATAATGACAGAAAAATGACGATGATAAGGACGTCACAGTTTTGACAGATGTTAATAAAGAAATAAATTTTATAAAAATGTGGGAAATTTGAACATTAGATTGACCTCAAGCGCCTATATTACACAATTAATATAATAGTTCATACTTTTTATACTGTCGCCATTGAACCGTCGTTATTTTAAAACTTCTTAACATATCACACCAAAAATCAGGAATATATTGAGTAATACAAGCGGTCTTGAATGAGATATTTTTCCCATATGATCCGACTGGCTTTCAGAATATAGTTGGAAAGGAAGCGGCGTACACATTTTCTGTATTGACACCTACTAGTACCAATCAAACACAAAAAAATTAAATATTTTGTGGAAATTACATCTGGAGCTTTGCTGTCGATTCAGTGCACATCAAATTTCATATTCCCCTAAAATACATATTTCCCTTCGTCGAAACACCGATAAACCACCTTTATTGTCATAATTAATAAAACTCTTTAATAATTTTTACTGTAATACGAACACATTGCGTACATTTTTTTGGGAATTCAGTAAATAACAAGAATGAGCAGCCATGGAGCAAATTCATTTGTGTATATTTTTTTAAAATTACAATAGAAAAGTAAAAAGAAATAACACTGAAATGATTCAAAGATCAAATCGATAATAAAAAACCACGTTGTAAGCTTATAAAGAAGAAACCTCTCAATAAGTGGACAGTAATTGAGCTAGAGCAATATTTCACAACAAATTTTCAAAATTAAACTAATAAACCGTGCTTAATGCGCATGCCCAAGGCTAAATGGACCACAGGAATGATGACGTAGATTTGATTGACATCTGTCAGTTTCACTTTCCAAACAAACCTGTTTAGTGTGGATAATTTGTATTTTTCGTTATTTTTTCATTTATTTTATAGAATCTTTCCGCTTTTTGCAATATTTAAGTATTCTAATAGTTACTACAACAATTTTACAAGGTTGTGTAAATAATAAAGCACATTGTTTTATGCTAATAGGAATAAAATGCAAGTATCAATAAAGTAAGGTTAAAATTTCTTTAATTAAACTTTTAAACCATATTTCCTAGAAATAGAACTCTGAATTATGATGGTATTATCGTAAAAAACACTATACTTACAAGAAAAAGTAGCAGAGGAAGCAAAATGTTTATAGGAATTAAAAAGTATTAAGATTTGACATTTCAACGTTTGCTTGGAAAGTAATAATGACAATGTGACAGTCGTGACGTCACACTCCTGCGGTCCATTGGTGTATCGACTAGTTCATGTAGTTGGCACAAATTTGGAGGTCTGGGCTGGCCAAACGAGATTGTTTTCATATTTTAGCGTAGTTTAGTTATTATATCAGTTTAGTATTATTTAAAATTGCAGCTCTGATTAGTTTTTTGTTTATGTAAAGTTTGTGATTTATTATTAATAACACAAAAGCTAAAACTTGTCCTTAGTGGACCTCCGTCTTATTTAAAATACATGTACCTTCATTTACAGTTTAGAATCTACTGTGTGAATACATTTTACATATACTGTCTGCAAAAAAATTGTAAAAATCTTGTACCTTCGTGTCACTATCAATGAAAAATCAATGTGTTAGAGAGGGAAGTACCTTTTAGGTAAGTAAGAGTGAGAACGATGTATGTTGATGTCATAATCCCGCCCAATATAGCCGCCGCCAGTAATTCGCCATTTTTAAATCTAAATTAATTTACATTTGTCATAAAACGTGATAAGTGACATAAAACGTAGGACACTTGCCATAATATGTGACAGAAAACGTGACATGTGACATAAAATGTGGGATATTTGACGTAATATGTCACATGCCACGTTTTATATCAAATGTTCCACGTTTTATGTCATATATCATGTCAAATATACCACCTTTTGTCACATTGTTAGATTATAAAAATTATTATATTATAAGAATTAGGATAATAGTTGAACTATAAAAATAATTTGTAATTATTTTAAATTTCTCTTATCTAGATCTTCATTTCTCACTCCTACTAACCTAAAAGGTACTTCTCTCTCTAACACAATGATTTTCCTATTCTGATAGTGACGCAACGTACCTTATCTACTATTATCAGCACAGTTACAGTTTTCAATAAGTATTAGTGAGTAATTTTGAATACAGGCTAACATTAGTAATACTGTATTAAAACCATGTATTTTTTCAAATAATGTTTATATAGTATACTTGATTTACAGCCCAACGATTACAAATATATAAATTTATAATATTTATAGCACACCTAATAAGAGGTTTTTTCTTACAAGTTCACTGTATCGGTTCCCAACTCAAATATTCATCATTGTATAATCCACATTCATCTCAAAACAGAAGGAAAGAACTAACAATAAGAATAAAAAGTGCAGTCACAGCCATATCTGTAATTTGAGCATTACATGGTATTGTAGAGTGTATTGTTGTGTCTGGGTTTGATGTTCAATCTGGCTAACGGATGGCTCTTCCCGTACTGCTGCTGCTTTTTCTTAGCGGCCGTTATAACCGTAGCGGCCACCATCAAGCCTGGGGACGCCGTCCTTACCACTGGTACGATTGGCGGGCGCTTGTCGTCGCTTTTGTCGACGACGGAACCGTTCCTGTTAAGATTGGAGATGAGAGGGACAATGCGAGGCGTTTTGTCCACAGATACTTCGATGCAGGAGTAACGACCATTGCGGTTCTGCGAGAAAGGTCCGGCGTTGGCAAATTTTTGTCTACGGTTTACTTGAACACCATCCACGTTGTTCTCGAAGATACCTATGAGACTCTTGAGATTGATGTCGTCACTGGAGGAGTTCTTGTTTTCGGGCTTTTTGTCTTTTGCTACGTGAACGCTAAGAGGAGAAGACGGCAGACTACTGACTTTGTTCTTGCACAGATTTTCCGGGACGTCGATTTGATCGGTGTTTGTACTTGATTTGGCTTCGAATTCCTTCTTTAAATTCTTAACTTTACCCGAAGCATTGGCGCTATCTAGAAGATCGTCTTTCTTAGTTACGTTACTAAAGTCATGGGAGTTGTGCAGGTTTTCCAAGAAAGTTCTATGCTGTTTTACTGACGAACACTGTGCTGTACTTATAACCGAATTTGAGTTTTCTTTAGAAACATTTGAAGCCGACCGAGACAAAGATTCACCTTGTGCGATAAGTTCCATCGAGGAAGGCTCGGGAGCACTTCGGGACAATCTAGACCTAACAGCAGGCATTTTATGCTCGTCTTTAGGAATGTCTATTTTGTCCGATATGGCACTAGATATAATAGAATCGTCAACCAGTATTTTGTTAAACGCTTCCGCCACGTCGACGTCCACATCATCGAGTAGGGTTTCGGAACTGGGTGTCTTGGCCAAAGAGAAGCAACTACTAGTCCGACTATCCCCGCTGCTGCTGGGTTTCCTTGAGGAACTTTCCAGATATCTTTGTTTGGATCTCTTAACGGTACCAGTCTGCCAGTGACCATGATCTTTGTCGAACGGAAAACCATTTTCGATCGAGTCCGAGTTGCTGTGTGTTACCTTCTCCCCTTTTTCGTTTATGTAGTGTACCGGACCTCTGGGCTGCATATCGTAGGATCCCCAGGAACTGTTTCGACTTGGGAGAGTGCGCGTATCTCCCGAACCCCACGAACTGTGTCTGGATAATTCAGACGCTTCATTTTGAAACCCCAGCGCTACCGCCGAATCGTAGGAACTCCAAGAACTTTGCCGAGAGGGGCTCTCCCGATGTATCTTATCGTCGTTAGAGAGCTCGGGAGAAGAGATCACGGGTACTGTAGACATTCGCAACTGCTTTTTCTCTTCGCGGTCAAAGACGCGATCCAGCTGGTTAGAAAAAGGATCACTGATTTCTCTGTGCGATGTCTTTGCTTTGCTAGAGTCAGAAATTTTCACTAAACTATTACTACAACTAACGGGCACAGCACTTTCAGTTTTAACTACAGTGGAAGAAGTCCACACCGTTTGATTTTCACTTATTACACTAAAATTTGATTCATCACAGGTTTCGCTTGAAAGTTCACAGCAAGACGTTTTGCTGTCCATCTCTTCACCGGGATCCCACGTTTCCATTTTGACTTTACTCTTCACTAGCTCTTCTCCCGAGTTTTGTTGCTCTGCTCTTTCGAACTGGCTCGCGAGATCCAGGACTAAATTTTTCTTTTCGTTTCTATAGTTAGTATCAGGTAAGTGAACTATTTGGTTTGGAGAAACGCTGTACGTTTCACCATTATCACAAGGCATTAAGACATGTCTGGCAAGGGAGGATTTTGATTCGATTGCCTTCATGGATTCTTTTGATGCTGACTTTTGGCTAACATCTTCTAGCGATATAGAAAGAGGAGATTTAGCTGCTTCTACCATTTCTCTGGTTAAGATGTTGTCCGGGGACCAAGACTTTGGGCGGGATCCCATGTTCCTCAATTCTTGGCCGGACATTGTGCTTTCGATATTGTATGATTTTGAAAGAGGCTGAGCGACTGGGGCCGGTTCATTTCCTGCAACTTTTTCACTTTTTCCATTTGAACCGGGCAATTTGAGATTGGTTTCAGACTTTGATCTCTGTAGCTTCTCTCTGTTCTTCATGGCGTCCAAAATACCCTGGTAAGTTTCGAGCTGCAGCAGAAAACTGGTGTTCGGTTTAATGCAACTCCTCTTGTCCTTGACGTGTTTCAGTGCCGTGTCGAAGTCCCAATTATAAGCTTTCATAGCGTACGCTATGACAACTGATGCGGACCTACTGACGCCCATTTTACAGTGAACCAGCACTTTGGAGCCTTGATCTCTAACTTTTGTAATGTATTTGTAGGTATCATCCCAATGTTTCAGGAGGTCGGTTTTTTCGTCGTCGTATACTCGGACGTTAAGGTAGTCGAAGGTGCCAGGAAAGAAGTTGTCGATCTCCCTTGTTACATTTAAAATGTGTCCAACTCTGAAAAAAAAAGAAGTAGGTCAATAATTGTCAAGAATTATATCAAACTTGGAAACATATTGAAATTTGATAAATTTTATATAAAGTCAGTGACAAAAATACAGGGATACATTATGAAATGTTCAGTGTTTAACTATCCAAATAGGAAAGTGGGATCTTCCTTTAGTTCCAGTCAAAGTTTGAAGTGCACATAAAGTATTTTTTTAATGTCGTGCTTCGCGTAAATCAGTGATTCGCGTTACAAGTAACATGTGATCAAATTTTTAAGATAATCTGGCAAAGAACCCTCAAAAATTGGGACTTCAATCGGTAGATGATGATTCGCGTGAAGCTCGAATCTTGAACGTCTGCGCGCGTTTGGTCACGTCTGACCAAAAGATACGTGCGTTCTCTATCGAGTTAAGCATTAACACATAAACCATTCGTAAGATGTTACATAGGAATTTCAATACGTGAGAGATGGTGCCAAAACTTCTTGACCCATGAACAGCAACAGATGCAAAAATTAATCTGTGAGGATTTGTTGTCCCGCATTCAGAGCTAGGGCAGTAATTAGATGAGTTAAATAATCACTAGAGATCATATTTTGAATGGATATGACCCCGAGCCCCTTAAACAAAATTAGCAGTGGGGGATGCAAAAAAGTGAGGAGCAGCTGACTAACGCGAAAATGTCCCAAGTGGCAACTGAAGGCAACATTAATTGATTTTTCGATATCTGCGTTATCATTAACCACTGTGTTCCTGTCAGCCAGACAATGGCTGAACAGTTCGATGTTGGTGCATAACTCACTAAACCAAGCTCTTGCATTGTGCAAAAGTTTTTAAAGCATAAAGGTATTCCAACCTTACAGAATTCACCATATAGTCCCTTGTGAAGATAAAGATTTACCTCAAGGGATCACATCATAGTAATGTAGAGTAAATCTAATCTAATCTAAGGATGAATGTGTTCTTACCAGCCACAAAATTACTAGACAGTTATATGTTGGCGTCCGAACTCACCAAGAATGGCAGTGTGCAAGAGTTTTTAACAAAGAAAAATAGGTATTCGAATATTGCCGCAACCACCCTATAGCCCTCTGTGACCTTTTCTTATTTCTCAAAATGAAGATGTACTTCAAGGGATCACATCATAGTAACGCAACGGAAGTCTAGGAAGCTTTGAACAGTGTGCTGAATAGATTAACTTCGGAATTCATCGCTAATACGTTTCTGCTATCCAGACAATGACTGGACAGTTCTAAGTTGGCGTTAGAACTCACTAAGAATTACTGCATCTTGCACCACAACCAAGTTCTTGCATTGTGCAAGAGTTTTTGGCGAAGAAAGGTATTCCAACATCACCGCAACTAGTCCATATCCCCCTTTCACCTTTTCTTATTTCTCAAGATGAAGATCAAGGGATCACATCATAGTAACGCAGTGGAAGTCTAGGAAGGTTTGAATACTGTTCTGAACAGATTAACTTCGGAATTCATCGCTAACATGTTCCTGTCAGCCAAACAATGACTGAGCAGTTCTATGTTGGCGTTAGAACGCACTAAGAATGGTTGAATCTTGCACCACAACTAAGCTCTTGCATTGGACAAGAGATTTTGTCGAAGAAACAGATTCCAACATTGACGCATCCATCCTATTGCCGATGTGACCTTTTCTTATTTCACAAGACGAAGATGCATCTCAAGGGATCACATCATAGTGCCGTAGAGGAAATCCAGGCAGTTTTGAGGCGGTGCTGAACAGATTTACTTCGGAGCAGTACCAAAGATGGTTCCAATCATGGAAGCGACCCAACTTTTGTAGAATTAGAGGGAGACTTTTGTGAAGGTCGATAATAAAAGTTTACTCGTAATTTATTTGTTTGTGTTTTATTGATAAATTCCTGAATCTTTTCTAATACAGGTATACCGAATTGCTACAACTGTATTTTTCCGTTATTAAAAAATTCATCGTTGCTAAAAAGAACCGTTTGAAACAAAAGCTAATATATGTGCACACTATTCATCATCATCATCATCAATCAGCCCTGAGTTGTCCATTGTTGAACATAGGCCTATTCTAGATTTTTCCATCTGCTTCTGCTCTGCGTCTCTGCTATCCAATTGGTCACGATTCTTTTGAGGTCGTCGGTCCATCGCGTTGGGGGTCTTCCTCGGCTTCGCTTGTCAGTCCGTGGTCTCCACTCAAGGAATTTTTTTGTCCAACTGTCGTCTTTCATTCTTGCAACATGCCCTGCCCATTTCCATCTTTGCCTTGTAATATGTTCGATAATGTCTTCCACTCCGGTTCGTCTACGAACTTCCTCGTTTCTTATTATATTTCTTAAGCTTATTCCAAGCATTGATCTCTCCATCTTTCGTTGTGTCCTTCTCAATATTTCGGCTAATGTTTTTGTGAGAGTTAAGGTTTCTGCTCCGTATGCGAGGACTGGTAGAACGCACTGGTTAAAAGCTTTTCTTTTTAAATGGATCGGTATATTTGTTTTAAATACGTCTCTCATTTTTCCGAATGCAGCCCAGCCCAGACTTATTCTTCTGAGCAGCTCGCATGTTTGGTTATCTCGCGTTAACCTTATTTCGTGACCCAAATACACATATTTTTCCACAAGTTCTATGGGCGACTTTTCGATTTCTATTAGCTCATTGGGGACGAGGTTGGTCATCATTTTTGTTTTTCCGTAGTTTATCTTTAAACTAACTTTCTGGGTTACTTGCTGTAGTTGTAGCATAACTCTGGCTTCTCCTAAGTTGTCTGTTATGAGAACAATATCATCGGCATATCTGAGATTATTGAATATCTTTCCATCGATGCCAATACCCTTTGATTCCCACTCTAGCCGTTTAAATGCGTACTCCAAAACTGTTATAAATAGTTTTCGAGACAAAGTATCTCCCTGCCACACCCCTCTGCCAATTTTTATCTTCTCAGTCACGCAATGGAGGTTAACGGTTGTTGTCGCATTTTCGTATATATTTCGAATAATATTTGCATACCTGTGATCTATTCTGCATTCTGATAGTGCTTTTAAGATAGCAACTGTTTCGACTGTGTCAAATACTTTGTGGAAGTCGACAAAGATAAGAGCAATGGGTCTGTTATATTCGATAGACTTTTCAACTAGAGTTTTAAGGCATTGCAAATGGTCGTTTGTTCCGTGTCCCGCTCGAAATCCTGCCTGTTCTTCTGATTGATAGAAATTAAGTTTTGCTTCTAATCCGTTGGTCAGTATTCGAGTAAAGAGCTTGTATAGGTGGTTAAGCAAACTAATTGGCCTATAGTTTTCGAGATCTGATTTATCCCCTTTTTTGTGGAGGAGGATTGTAACCGAATTCTTCCATTTACTTGAAATGTTTTCACTATGCAGACATAGATTAAAAAGTGTTTGGATTCGCGACATCAAAAGTGGACCTCCTAGTTTAATTGTCTCAATGACTACACCATCTTCCCCCGGAGCTCTATTATTTTTCATATTTTTGAGGGCATGTTGAATTTCCTCTCGTGATATATCTGGTATATCCTCCGATCCTACATTATGTACCTTTTGTATTGGTTGTTCGATGAGCTCTGGAATAACTTGACTTTTATATAATGTTTCATAGAAACTTTCCACTATATGTAATATGCTTGGTCTATCTGAGATAATATTTCCATTTTTGTCTTTAAGTTGGAAGATTTCTTTTTTGACATTTTCCATTTTTCTCCTCAATGCTTTCATGCTTTTGTTGTCTTCTATAGTTTTTATAATTTTCTCGTTGTTGTATTTTCTAATATCCCGTCTGATGGCTTTAGAGATTTCTTTATTGATGCTGTTTATATCTTGTGAGTCAACATTTCCTTGACTTCTCAGTACACTATTAGTGAATATAAAATGAAGTTTCTGGAGATAAGTGATAATACAAAAGATTAGAGACCCTTAAATGTTAGAAAAAGCAATGAACGCACAGTATTGTTTAGAAAAATACAAGATTTCGAATATCGAATTCCAAAAAATTAAGAAAAAATGAGAAACAATAGAGCTTTTCACAATATTCTAAAATCCATTTGTCAATGGATAAAATTGGGATTATACTCAAGTGTGATGTTGACCACAGCGTTTTATGAGGAGATGAACAAGAAAGACTAGAGATTGTTTTAAATATCTAGGTCCTGCTTTAATGGGGTGTTAATGTTCTTAATTGTTATTTTTATTATAATTAATACTGGATTAATTCCAGCTAAAAAATAATATATCTTTGATTGGATTGAATTTGGATGTGGATGCCAAATGGGTGTGAAGTGATAATTTCAGTGTTAGATTCACATTAAAGTGACAGTATTAGAATACAAAACTTAATTCAAAGCAGGAAAATCGCATTGTTCTAATAATTGATACAGCAATATCTCTCTTATGGAATATGATCATGCCGTTATTTGTAACTGTGGTCTTAGTGTATAATGGCAATAACAATTAATGGATACTCGAAGTAAAGTTTGAAGTTTACATAAAGATTAGTGACTACGCTCTACCGGACAGTAAAAGTTAGTTTCATGCCCTTTGTAAATTACGATGTTTTTCAATGGCTCTTTACTATGCAAATAGATGTGAAACTAAACAAAATATTGTATTTTCGAATTAACTTACCCATTCCTCTGTAATTCCTCGTAATTGGACGCATTCCATTCCGAACCAAGGTAGACGTGGTCGAAAATTTCCGTTGGAGCATCCATCTGGCCAAGAATTATTAGCATCTCTTCGTCGATGAAAGATTTATACTCGCCCAAATCCATATCGAGCTCTTCCTCAAGCCGGGTCCGTATCGCCTAAAAATACCCAAAACTCTATCAGTATAATGTACTTACAGATAATGAAGATTATTCTATCGTTGTTATACAAGTATTTTATAAACATTTTTGGTACATAAATTTACAATGTGCTAAATAACTGGTATATTTGTTTAGGTTAGTTAGGGAGAGTTAGTTAGACAAGGAGCAGCTGTTGTACTAATTTTTACTAAAATTGGAAAATCCTGTGGATCCAGATGAGGTATATACAAAGATATTCAAACTAGTGGATGAATAAAACTATCCCTATGTTAACGAAAGTATTCAATACAATCTATCAATCCGGTATAAGCGATCCAATATACAGAAAATGTGAAACGAACCTTAGTTTTCCAGACGGAATATAAATTAGAGAAGCAATTTAAAAGGTTATTCCTAGTTAAGGAATATTAAAGAATGGACAGGAATACACAATACAAGCGAGCTGTGTCACACCGCCAAGAACAGAATTCTAGTAATGAGATAGTCGCCTAGGCAATTTGGTGTAAAGAAGAAGGTTAAGGGAAAATGAAGGCAAGAGGGGACTGGGAAGAGTCAAGCATTCGTTGTTTCTAGCTGCATAAGATTGGTGTTACTTCTCTGAGATTGTTCTCATCCTTCAATAAAGACGCTACTACATAAAGAAGAAGAAAGTTAGTCAGAGAAGATAAGTGCGACTTGTGATTTTCTAGATTGGGTACAATTCCATTAGAGGTTCTCCATTTTCATTTAATTCTTTATGGCCACAGATTTTAAGTCTTCCAGTACTAGTGGTTGTTGGTACACATTTTGTATGAATTACTTCATTGTCGTGAGTGTTAGCCACATTTTTTACTCCTAACATCGTTGTGAAATCTTGCATTGGATATACAGCAAGCAATTGAAGTTTATATTTATAAGAAAAATGAGACATACCTTGCTAGTGACCTCATCCAAGTCCACCGTCATCATAATCTCCTTGAGGGTGGCCCTGATCACCTTCTCGGCCTGCTGCCTCTCGGTGGGCTTGGTCCTAACGGAATCCGGCGAGGGTGGTCTCTTAGACTCTAAGTTATCCATGGCGTGCCATTCGTTAAGACAGGAACGGTCAGACTCAATCCGGTTCTCATAATACTCCACCCAAGAATGGGTCAGTCCTCCTTGGAAGTAGTTCTGTTCGCGAGCCTTGGCGCTCACCTTGTGGAGAGTCTGCAGCGTTGACCTGCAAAAGAAAATTTTCAATCAGACAAGTAAAAAAAAGAATAAAAAATAAATATTGAATATTTTTCAGGATATAACATACCCTCTTCAAATAAATTGTCTGTATTTCTCTATGTCACAACTGGGACAGTTGTTTCACTGCTTTATTTTTAAAATTGTTCTAAATGTTTGACTCTGTATAAACAGAGGCACAGTTTGCAGTATTGATTATAAACTTTTTTTAGGAGTTTCTTTGAATATTTTATTTAAAACACTAGAATGTTCTTTGTTGGAATGATTTAAGTAGTTAGTTTTTAATTTCGTTAGATGTCATATCGTTATTTAGTAACATACCAATAGATCTGGTCAGTAATATAATACAGTCAAAATGGAATCTCATCCAAAATTATACAACAATTCCCAAGGATAGTTTTCTAACACTTCTGAACTATGTTTTTGAGAACACCTATTTTAGCTTTAATGATAAATTCTATCGACAAATATTTGGAGCACCTATGGGTAGTCCACTCAGCCCCATAATAGCAACCATCATTTTGGACCATTTGCTGGATGTCATTATTCCACAATTACCTTTCCCTTTACCCTTCATTAAAAAAATTGTAGACGATCTTATATGTTCTGCTCCTACTTCAGAAATTCAGAATACCTTAAACATTTTCAATAACTTTAACAAACATATCCAATTTACTTTAGAGATTGAAAATGATTGTTCGATATCATTTCTGGACACCAAAATAATAAGAACAGAACAAAACAAAATATTGATAGATTGGTATCAAAAGCCTCTGGAAGATATTTAAACTTTTTTTCAAATCATCCTACCCATCAAAAGTTTAATACAGTCATTGCAATGAAGAATAGGGTAAGGCGTATTAGTGATGATAAATTCATAAACAGAAACTTAAATTTGATGTTAAACATCTTTCATAATAATGGATACCCAAAACATATCCTTAAAAAATTGATATTTAACTCTGACATTTTTGACGATCCCACTGATATCGGAGCTGTACAAACAATACAATATAAAAAACTACCATTAATAAAACAGTTAACACCTTCTGTGACTAGTTTATTTAAACAATTTACTAACATTAAAATTGTCCAATATAATTTATTAGAAAACTGACAACTGTTTTCTAAAGTAAAAGACAAGACACCAACTGTAAATAAAACTAATGTTATCTACAAACTGCCTTGTTTGGATTGTCAGAGCTGTTATGTTGGCCAAATTTCTCAATAACTAAAACAAAGGGTCACACAACACAAAAGTGACTGCACAAAACAGAAGAATACATGTGCGGCAGTTGACCATCACTTAAAAACTGGCCCTCAATTTGACTATTCAAATGTCAGGGTTCTTCAACAAGAAAATAATTACAAAAAAAGATTGCTTTTGGAAATGTGTCATATAAATAAAGAAAACTATGCAGTAAATTACAAGGCAGACACGGGACAGTTGAGCAATATCTACTGTAATATTCTTAGTATGTCCAAATAATTTTTCTGTTTACAATTATATTTTAAATCACCCTGTATATTTTTAATGTGTAATTTTATTGTGTTTTAATTGTTTCTTGGTTGTTTTTGTTTGCTCTGTTTTTATATTTAATTACTAGTGACCTAGGTGCTTTTAACCAATACTGTCAATACTGTTTTGAACATATTGTGTACAAAAACTTTTTTAAATATTTTTAACTCTTAATATGTAAGTGATTCATTTTTTATTCTCACCTAATTTTTATTTAACTTTTAACCATATTTTAGTTGTCTCCTGATGAAGCTGACAAAAAATTAACGAAATATAGAGCATTAAAAGAAAAAAATGGCAACATTGGCCACAACGCTGAGCATAAAAACATTTACCTTTCTCAATAGTCTTTCGCCTATTAATGAACAACAGATCAATTAATACAGTCTACATTGATTACATTAGGCACCAACTTCCGTTGTACACGATTTTTGAATCCAAGAAATAAAGCCTAAAGAACTAGCTCTAACAACTTCCTAATGGCTATTAAAACACCAATGATGTTGTAATATATATAATTTTAGATAGTGTTAAAAATAATCCTTGGCCCATACTCTTAAAAATGATAATTGAACTATTCAACTTAAATTAATGACATTATGAAATTCAGATTTATTATATTCGAAATGCACATTTTGAGGAAGGTCAGCCTTGATCAGAATTTTAACAGTTCGTAAAGCATAATTTAATTTTATATATTCACTAATAGGGAGAATTATTTTGTGGATGGATGAAGGTTAATCCATAAATAATACGAATAGGTCCAAAATATTAACGAGGTTTTATGAGTAGTAAAATAGTTTCAGTATACATCTATAAGTTTATCTGTTTTTCACATAAAAGATTTAAGATTTACAATGCTTTACACAAACAGTGAATAGAACCGCATGCCTATAACTTAAAGCCACGAAAAATGTCAGACAGTTGTTATCCAGAAAACCGAAAAAGTAGCGATCAGCAGCACTGATATTTAAAATATAAACGTGAACATGATGTACAGGTGTGAAAGACACTGATGAATAACATAAAAACACTAGGAAAAAAGACTTTGGACTGAAATTCATCAATAATTTCACATACGCCTATATTCGTAGTGGAAGAACTCCATGATAAATATTGGACTGGTTTTAAATCGAGCAGGTATCAAATAGACCAGATCCAGTGAAGTGGTAATACTTATTCCAGGTAATACACTGATGATAGACTTTATAGCCCGAAAACTGTCGGTGATGTACCCCGAAAAAGTCTTTTAAGTATATTCTTTCAAAGAATTCAAAGAATTAAAAAAAAACTTTTGTGATTCATGGTATACAGCCAACTACAGGAATTTCATTTCCCTTGCGGATTTCAATATTAATACTTTTTACCCCTTTGTAGAATTAAATTAACATACTGGCCAAAGTCATCCACGCGTTTTTTCATAGGCCTTTGAAACAAGTCTGGGATCACGTTTTAGCATTAATTTTCAATGTAAGACTGAGATTAAATCATCATTCAAATATATCATCATTCGTCAAAGTTAAAGAATCGTTTCCCTGCTTTCCAATTAATGTAGAATATATAAATCATATTCCACAGCATCCCAACCCATCCCAACGACCATATTCCAAATGTTAACTTGGAATCTTGGAAACTTTAATCTATACAGTCCCTATCTGATGAGCTTTTCGATTCTTTCTCTCCGTTTAATAAATCCGTCCTCAACTTTGGACATACTCAATTTGGTGACCATTTCACCACCTCTGAAAGCATACATCTAACTAAGCCATTAATTAGACATTTCGATTCTCACAAATAGAGAAATCACATTCTTCGGACACTAAGGGAGCTCCATCGTCGATTATACCAGTTGTACCGAAAATATTGGTATTCGACGATGAATGTTTTATATCATCCATAACCCTGTTATATAGGCGCGAGTCAATTGTAATCTTTTTCTAGACTGAAAATCAAGTTTTTTTCTCTAATCTAAATAATAGCTAAATTGACAGATGTAGCTTCAACAATATACACTCACCGGCAAAATTAACGGAACACCTTAAAATTGGGACATGTTAGATGTCTCGAATTTCCTAAACCTGTTGTCCGATTTTAGTGATTTTTTTAGTATGTTATAGGTATATTATTTAAGAATATCGATGTAATAATATTGTTGCTAGACAGGTCAATGTCATTTTATACCGGGCGTAACAATCCTACTGTGTTTTCTCCTTAAAGTTCGGAACACCCTGTGGAATATTCTAGCATATATAAAATATTGAAATTAAAACTTAATTATAGCCTCAGGCTTTCTTAACATTTTCTTTTTTGATTCATTTGCTTATGTTTGATAATAAAAAAGTTAGGTACGTTAACAACTAGCCATGTTTTTCATCAATAAATCCTCATTTTCTGCTTAGTTTAATAAACAAGCCTAAAGTAGGCTATTAGAAGTTAACAATTTAATACACACACCGGCAAATTTAAAGGAACCTGTTATTAATGCAATATTTCTTTATATTTGTATTTTATAGACTATATCTACATAGCTTTGAAAGCTCCTTGTCACAAGAAAGTCTTAAATGTCAAATTAATTTGTTTATTTGTATTGTGTTTTACATTTTACAGTCATTCTGTCTGTTCATAACAAGTACAAACTTGTATTTAATTGAGCGCATAGTAAGAAAGAGACTTAAAAAAGCCGGTCTCAAGTCATATGTGCCAATAAAAGCTTCCAGACTCCAGAGACACCATCGTTTAGCACGACTACAATTTGGTCGAGTACATCAAAATTGGTATGATAACCACCGGAGTCAAATTCTCTTTACGGACGAGAGCCGTTTCTGGGTAAATTACATCGACGGTAGAGAAAGATTGTATCAACGCCAAGGAGAACGAAATGCCCCTTTCAATTTTACTACGACCGTACCTTTTGGTGGAGGTTCAATTATGGTGTGGGGCGGTATATGTTTGGGAGCAATAACAGAGTTAGTGGTGATTGATGATGGAGCATTAAAAGCAGATAAGTATATCAGAGATATTCTCCAAGACCATGTGGTACCTTTTTCACCATATACTATCGAAAATTTTATTTTATGCAGAATAATGCGAGCCCACACGACTGTGTAAGATATTTCTTATTACAAGTGGGTATAACAACGATGAATTGGCCAGCTTGTTCCCCAGACCTAAACCCAATAGAGGATATGTGGAACATGCTAGGCAGAAAACTTAGGGCACGGGTTCCTGCTTTTCAAAACAGAGAGGAAGTCACAATTGCTTTGATTGAGGAATGGGAGAGATTGCTCAACAACTGATCGATAGCGGTATCAGAAGTATGAGAAGACGAATAACTGCAGTTGTAAGGGCTCGTAGGGGAAACACACGCTATTAAAGCCAAAAAAATGCATAAAAAACCAATTTAAGTTCAAACTGTACAATAAAGTTAATGCGTTTAAAATCCGTATTTTGTTGAGTCTGACATCTTTGTG